TTTTTTATAAAATGGAGTACTACTCAGCCATAAAGAATGAGGAACTAGAGTTATTTATAGCTAAATGGATGCATATTGAGGCCATACTCTTAAGTGAAATAAATAAGACACATGTGTGTAAATACCAAATTGTTTCTCTAGTGTGAGAAACTGAGAGTGTAAATAAGGATTAAAAGGATTAATAACTGGAGTACCTTCAGTAGCTCACTCTTTTTTGCTCGTAGACGCCACCGAGGAAACATCTTTAGTCTCTCTTCCAACTGCCGTCATGTCTAAGTCAGAGTCTGCTAAGGAGCCTGAACAGCTGCGGAAGCTCTTCATCAGAGGACTGAGCTTTGAAACAACAGATGAGAGTCTGAGAAGCCATTTTGAGCAATTGGGAACGCTCATGGACTGTGTGGTAATGAGAGATCCAAACACCAAGCACTCCAGGGGCTTTGGGTTTGTCACTTACACCACTGCAGAAGAGGTGGATGCAGCCATGAACGCAAGGCCACACAAGGCAGATGGAAGAGCTGTGGAACCAAAGAGAGCTGTCTCAAGAGAAGATTCTCAAAGACCTGGTGCCCACTTAACTGTGAAGAAGATCTTCGTTGGTGGCATTAAAGAAGATACTGAAAAACATCACCTACAAGATTATTTTGAACAGTATGGAAAAACTGAAGTGATTGAAATCATGACTGATAGAGGCAGTGGGAAGAAGAGGGGATTTGCTTTTGTAACCTTTGATGACCATGATTCTGTGGATAAGATTGTCATTCAGAAATACCATACTGTGAAAGGCCACAACTGTGAAGTGAGGAAAGCCCTGTCGAAACAGGAGACAGCTAGTGCTTCATCTAGCCAAAGAGGTCAAAGTGGTTCTGGAAATTTTGTTGGTGGCCTTGGAGGTGGTTTTGGTGGCAATGACAATTTCGGTCGGGGAGGAAACTTCAGTGGTCGAGGTGGCTTTAGCGGCAGCCGTGGTGGAGATGGATATGGTCACAGTGGGGAAGGCTGCAATGGATTTGGTAGTGATGGAAGCAGTTTTGGAGGTGGTGGAGGGTACAATGATTTTGGCAATTACAACAATCAGTCTTCAAATTTTGGACCCATGAAGGGAGGAAACTTTGGCGGCAGAAGCTCTGGGCCCTATGGTGGTGGAGGCCAATACTTTGCCAAACCACGAAATCAAGGT